GTTCTGGTTGAGAACACTTAGCAAGGCCTTTAATGATGTTTTAATGATATTACCAATTTTACCAACTAATGTATATAGTTACATATTGATGTCGAGTAGCGAGATGTGAGCATTTGATACTCGACAAACTGTTTTATTGGATAGTGCTCTCAGAGACTAATTCTGATGAAGACATTGTGAAAATACCATGGGCAAGAAAGGAAAAAAGAACATATTGAAATTTTATGTTAGGATTTAAGAAACAGTGCCTTGCAGCTTTGCTGCTGAAGAACAGACAGAAGCCTGGCAAGGGTAGAGTGGGATAGGACAGGAAGGCCATACATAGGTCTGATGGGGCTAGATCCTCCTGTTCCCACACAGGGCAGAGGAGAGGAGCTGCCCCTTCATGTGCATGGAAGTGTTTGTGGCATCCAGTGTGTCTGCAACAATGGGCTATTCGGAGACTGGCTTGAGAAGTGGTGTGTAGAGTTGTGGCCAGTGGTCATAGGAGCAGAGCCAGTGTCTGGCATTGCTGGGCCTGTAGCTCTGTGGTACATGCTGAACGTGTATGGGACTCTGTGTTTGGTCTCGAGCACCAGTTTTCTTCCAGAAAAGGCTTTCTGCTTCCTGCTTCTGCCTTTTCTGTCCCTAGGAGTCCCTCGCTAGCCGAGGACTCATATTTCATAGTGTCAGGGATGCACAGTCAACCTCAGCCTAAAGACGTCAAATAAAAAATTCTAAAGCACTTTATACTTTATAGCTTACATTGCTCTGTAATTGTAGGTATATTTATATTTGTTGTGGTTGTTCTAGTTTGTTATTAATTGCTGTACCTAATTTTATTAATGTATAGTGAGTATGTGTGTATGGGGGGAAATCATAATATCTATGGGGTTTGGTGCTGTTGATAGCTTCAAGTGTCTTAGACAGGAGACTCCTATATTCTTACAAGTCTAGCTTCTGCCAGTTTGACCCTGAAGGTCTACCAAGAGAATAACAGTCTTATTTGTGTGTTCATATATCATTTTGTGTCAGTTATCTTTACTTGTCTTTGGACAGAATGGAGATGTTGCTAATTAAGAAATTTATACACCCCCTGCCCCAATGTAACACTGGGGCCTCAGTCTCCCCCATACAATGACCTTATCTTACAAATGGGACCACTGGGGCAGAGAGAGTCTGAGTTACAGGACAATGAGTCCCTCTGGCTAATCTAAGTCAGGGTCAGGTATCATCTGGTTGAACCAAGAGAGTGGACATCCCCAAGAGAGACTCTGTCCAAGCCTGGAGCCTGCCACCCTGGTATCCTGCCTTCTCTCCTCATGACGACAGCCTGAGATCAGAAAGAGCAGTTTCCAAGCCTCAGAAGTGCACCCCAAAGTCAGTGCTGCTGTGGCAGTCCAGGTGAGAATCCTAGAAGAGTAGAGACAGCAGAGAAGAAGCAACAGGAAGTGGATACATAAGCAAACAAGTGGGTGTGGCCAGTCCAGTAGAGGTAGAAGTAGGACCTGGGAATGCACCCAAAGGGAGTGAAAGCGGGGACTTGGGCAAATATTGGCACACCCCATTCATAGCGGTGACATTCACAGTAGCCAAATGAGGAAGTAACCTGTGCCCATCAACATGTGCATGGATTTATCCATACAGTGCAATATTCATCAGCCTTAAAAAGGAAGGAAATTCTGACATATAATACAACATGGGTAACCTTGAAGTCATTATGCTAATCAGAATGAGCCAGGCACAAAAGGCCAGATGCTACATGGCTCCACTGAAGTAGCTCACTGTGCTAGCTTTGCAAGGGCAGGAGGATGCCTTGGCTAATGTTCCCTTCTCTTCTGCAGTGGAACTCAACCCTCCTGCCGAGTTGTACATGTATCCAAACAGGTGTAGTATTGGCCACTGCTGACCCAAGGCCATTTGCCTAGTTAGTATTGTGAGGAGCATTTGTTCCTTTCCTTCTTCCAAGAGAACAGCTCATCATTCAAGACCTTGTGGGCCACTTCTAAGGATAATCTCAGGTGGTCAGAGACAGCGGGGGTGGGTGGCCTTGGGAATTTTATCAAGGGAAGGGATGGCTCCCCTGGCTTGGCTCAGCTGTCCCTAATGGCCTCCAGGATGGTGGGTGGCTCTGCTTGGAATCATTTATTTGCCAGCAAATTTCATTCACCTGTTCAGTATTTCCCTAAGCGGGAACTGGCTTGAATGTTCAGACTTAAAAGACCAACTGTTAGTTAACTCCCTCACCACCACCACCACCCGGATAGTGACTGTTCATAAGCACACTTATTTACTAATTACCACCATATAGTGAGGCTCCATGATGCCTCTATCTGGTAGCAGGTCTGCCAGGCTTTAGTAGTCTTTGGATCACTTGTTTGAAGAAGTGAGCAATGAGATTTACCTGTAGGAAAAGAGTCTGTGAGCAAGATAGGGCAGAAACATTGTGTTTGTGACAGCAGCAAAAGATGTCTTGAAGGAGAAAATGAACAGAGAATAGGAATTGCAGATAACTGTTATGGGATGCTTAGTACCTACCCAAAGCCCTGCTTGCCACCCCCTATACATAAGTCTCCCACTCAGATCTGGAAGCAATCAATTTGCAAAGTGGTACTTAGTGTCTCATGAGGAAATGAAAGCCCAGAGAGGGTCAGTCTAGGTTTTCAAACAGAAAGGTCTCAGGCAGCCTGATTTATCCCAAACCCACAGCATCATAGACCTTAAGAGAGGAGTGGAGGGGCTTCAAAAAGGAGCCAGAGAGCCATTCCCAGCATCCAGTAATGGTTGTCACTGGTTAGCACCACCCTAGGCTCTCCCACCGAATAGGTGACATGCAACTGTCACAGTACTTAATGTTCTCCGTGTATGAGAACGGAACATGCCAGAACAAACTCAAGGAGAGGGGCTTTATTGTTTAATAACAAAGGGCTTTCTCTTAAGTGTAAGAACAGGAAGCAGCCAGGCTGCGAGTCTAGCTGGCAGGGAAATCCGAGGTGGGCAAAGAACCCAGAAGAACCTCATGTATACTCACTCTATCTTCTTGTGCAAAGATGTGGAAATGGCCACTATAGCTTCTAAATTCCTTGGTCTCTCCTGGGGACTGTCGTGAGGTCGGGGCAGCTGACAGTGATGTACTGGGTAAGCTTTAGTCCTGGTTAAATTCAAGGGGAATCAGTAACACAAAAAGGCACAAGGGTAAGTTTAATCCCATTTTACTCATAAGGGATTAAGATAAACAGCGATGGAATAACCTTGCTCAAAGTCATGTGGCTGTGAGAAGAGTTTGAGTGACTCAGATGACTGAAAATCTATATGGTAAAACATTACATCTAAATTGCCCTAGAGACAGTAGTATAAATGTATGCATGATATATACAAGTGGATATCATGTACATATGAATATATATCATACATATATGCACAACATACATGGCATATTGTATATAATGTACATATACATGATATGTACAAGTGGATATCATGTACATATGAATATATATCATATATACACACATATGTACATGACATATCATATATATACACATGCATATACATGATAGGTACAAATTACTTATTACTGGAGTTTTTCATTAAATGTTTGTAGATCACAATCGACTACAGATAACTCTGTAAGTGAAATCGTGGGGGGCTGTTATGATAAGTCTTTCCACCGAAACCACCGAGCCCTGCTACCATGTGGGCACTTTCTGCCAGGCTGCCCGAGTTCTGCCCGCCACCACGTTATGGTCCCAAGTAACACACAGAGACTTATATTAGGTACAAATGCTGCTTGGCCAATGACTAGGACTTCTCATCTGCTAGCTCAGTCTTAATTATCAACTATAATCTTAAGACTTATCTTATGGAGGACGCCTTCCGCTGGAGTCCTCATCCCAGAATCACATGTCGGCTCAGAGCAGAGAGCAGGAGGAAGAGCGAAAGGGATGACTTCCTTCTTGCCCTTGCTTATATACTGAGTCTGCCTGCTATGTCACTTCCTGCCTGGATCTTTTACTACATTTCCCAGAATCCTCCTTGACTACTAGTCTCACCTATCTTGCTTCCTCATTGGCCAAACAGTACTTTATCAACCAATAAGAGAGATATATACACAGAAAGACACCCCCCCATCAGGTGGGGGCAGAGGTGGCTTCCTTAATCTTCAATCCCTCCCTGAGTGAGCAGCTCAGCTGGCTGAGAAGGGCCACAGAAGTGTCTGTGTAGGTTCAGTCCATCTGCATTTTCAAACGTTGCTTTTGAGAATGGTGGCTACCCAATGACAGCTGGGACAAGCAGGCCTCTGAAAGCTGTGTCCTCATGCTCAGGAGTCTTGTGACACTGGGCAAATTGACATGACAGGAGGGTGTGAGCATCAGCCTTTCTTGAAGGTGGGGGAATCAGGCCACATGGCTTCTCTTAGTTCCACCTAGTCTCAAGCAGAAATCTGTCCTGAAAAACTGCCCATAACGGAAAATTGGGACACTCCAGGGGTCTGGATGTTCTCATCTGACCTCTTAAAATCCCAGAGCAGATGGACCCGTGTGTTTCCTTTGGCTTCCTCCATGCACTTGAGAGTGAGTGTCCATTCTTAGAGATTTTGGTTTACCCATGGGGTGGAGAGGAAGGAGAGTGTTTATAATGAATATTTGGAGTAGACCCAACTTGACACTAACTTAGCTACCTCAGGGGTACTTGACCCAAGATAAACACTAATTTGGGTCTATAAAACTTGGCCACAATAGTATAAATTTAGACAGTATTAGTCGGTAACTTCTGATGGAGTGTGGGCTTCCTCAGAAACATTACCTAGGGTTGTTTATCTGAAAAGAACTTCCGGTTCATAAACACTGACTGCTTGCCAGAGACACAGGTGGGGAGCAGGGTAGGAGGATGTTTCCACTGGAAGCCAAATGCCTCAGGCAATGGGAAGTGCCCATGTGTACATGCATGTGTGGGGGAGAGCTTTTGGAGCTATCTGCCGGGCAGTATTGGAGAAAGGTAACCTACTTCTTGTTTTGCAGATCGGGAATCTGGACGATTACTACCATTTTTACCACAGCAAGACCTTCAAGCGATCAACCCTGAGCAGCAGAGGCCCTCACACCTTCCTCAGAATGGACCCACAGGTACATGCCGGCAGGGTTCCTTCCAAAGGACTAGAGTGCCTGGCTCTGCCCTCCTGAAAGCAAATCGTAATGTGATTCTATTCTAAAAAATTAACTTCAGTGTCTACTTGGAATACATTGCAGCAGAGATATAGAAACATGTCAGATCCACTGAATGCCACTGGTTTTTATGTCTTCGTCAGAGAAAAACACTTGACTTTTGTTAAAATGTTGAAATCTAGCAATATTTTAAAAATCAATAGGGCTTGGGAGATATCTCAGGGGTAGAGTCCTTGTCCAGCATACACAAGACCCCAGGTTCCACCCCCAGGACTGCAAAAGTTAATTTAATGTTAAAAATAAAAATATGCAACCATTACACAAGATACATATAGGACTCTTACCCATAAATCAAAACCCTTAAACCAAGTATTTAATAATGAAATTAGTGATGAGACAGAGGGAAACTCTTTCCTGGTTATTATAATTCGTATCTTAATGGTTGCCATGGGCTCAAATACCAAGTAAAATTTTATGGGGATCTCTTTAAGATTTAAATCAATTCATTTGAAAAGTTTTGGGGTAGCCCCTACTGACTGAGTTAGTCAATCGTGCTTCATTTCTACCTGTATTTGAAATTAATGTTGGCAAATATCAGCCAGTAGATAGGAATGCACAGCAGGATGGTAGGCCTCTCACAAGTTCGTTTTTTCAGTAGGTACTTACAAATACCTGCTGGATGGCTTATTCTGCCTACAGTAATGGCTGTGAAGCTGGCAGCTGGGCTGACCAAAAACGAAGCAATAAATGTGATCTGTCACAGGGCATCGAGAGCTGTGTGGGAAAGGGACGTTCATGTGAGAAGCAGTACTAACCACAAAGAAGTGTGGCCACAGAGAGTCCATCGTTTTAAACATAGTAGTCATCTTGCCTTAAAAGCAGTGTGCTAAATGTCAATCTGAACCCACTGTCTGGCACACAAAAGGATTTCAGCAATTCCCAGAGAACATTTACAATAAAGTTTCCATGGAAGAAGAGTTTTTTGATGTTGCCACAAGCCACTCCACTGACAGTCATGGCTTCACTGTTGACAGAGCTGCGGGGTGGAGCGGGAGGAGAGGGTAGTTCATCCCTGCTCACAGAGATGAATTACTTTGTGCTGGGGCATCACTCTGTGAGCATCCTGGTTTGAAGTACAGGGGAAGTAGTCCCCATTCATGTAAGTGGGCTGTGAAAGGCAGAAATAGCCTGAGTGTATTAGTAAATCTGTTTTATAGGTTGGTGGATGAGAAGATGAATGGGTAGATGAATGGACAGACTGGTGAAGGGGTGGACGAATGGATGGATACCTGGATGAATGGGCTTATGGGTGGGTGACGGGTGAGTGAGTGGATAGATAAACATACCACTGGTGGAGGTGTAGATGAAATGGATGGATAAATGAGTAATGGATGCATGGGTGAATGAACAGGTGGACTAGTAGGTAGATGGATAAACACAAGAATGGATGAATTAATAGAAAGATACAGATAAAAGACATTCTGCGATTTGTCTATTAGCAGATTCTTGTGTTTCTGGGCATTTTAATGCACACCACCTCACCTAATTACATGGGGTTATGATTATATATGCTTGTGCCCACAATACGGAACCTGAAGAAATGTTTTCCAAAGGAGCAAGGACATTTCTTTCCCTGAGGAAGCGGAGCCACACCATAGGGACTCACACTTCCAGAATGAGAGCAAGTAGGAAAGAGTGGGCCAACCAATCCTCAGGTGTAGCACGAGTTCTAATTGGTCTTAATAATAAAAACCCAGAGCCAGATATTAGGGGGTGAAAGCTGAAAGATCAGAGAAGTAGAGCAGCCAGCCACTAGAGCTCTTACCTCTACGAAATCCTCAGACTGAAAAGAGACTGAGTTCCTGCCTCCCCCTGCCTTATCACTTCCTCTCTCTGACCAGCCATATCACTTCCTGTCTGTCTGTACAGACTTCCAGGCCTCTATGGTTAGCTAGTGGCAAGCTCTACCCTCTGATCTTCAGGCAAGCTTTATTTGTTAGAATATAAAAAAGATGTCACCACACTCAGAGCCATATTGAGAAGGGCAGCAGGGCACCTGGTTCCAGATTACAGCCTAAACATAAAGAGGTATGATGGGTCCTGTGATGTTGAAAGTGACCTGTCACCTGTCATCTTAGAGGAAAGTCTAAGCTAACAAGGGAGTCACTGCCACATTACCCTACCCCAGTTTCACTCCGAGCAAGCAGTTGATGTGTCCAGTAAAGACAGCATGCATTTCTTCATCTGAAGTCTTGAGCATCTTTAAATTCCTACCTCTCCAGGAGTTAAAAATCTGGGGCTACATCCCAAGTGAAGGGATGCACTCTCGGCTTGGACACATGGGGGAGGGCCTAGGCCCGGCCCAGGTGATGTGATGGACTTTGGGGAGCCCCCGTCAAGGGCCCTACCCTGCCTGGGGAGTGGAGGGTGGATGGCATGGAGGGTAGGTTGGGGGTAGGGGGTAGGGGAGGGAGAGGGAGAAGGGATTAGCATGTGAAACAAGCTCGTTCCTAATTTGAACTAATAAAAAAAATGTGGGGCTAAATATTTGTATGAAAAATGTTCTGATATGGGTACTCTTTGCCAAGAGACTTGGCCCCCGACACCCTGTCAAAGGGGCTTCCAAGAATTAAAACTGCTCCTTGATGTTTAGACAAATAACAGTCAATATAGGAGACAGAGAGAGTATGTTGTCTTCTTCCTGTTTTAAACCTTTGTGGTATTTTGTTTGGGTTACAGGGTTGAACCTAGGGCCTCCCATATGCGAAGTGAGTGCTCTACCACTGAGCAATGTTTTCAACCTCCTTTTGCATTTTTTTTTTAAATTTTAGAAACAGAGTCTAGATATCTTGCTTTGGCAGAACTTTTGATCCTCCTGACTTGGCCTCTTGAGTAGCTGAGATGACAGACAAGAGCCACAGCCCTGGCAGTGTTAAACCCTCCTAAGGTCCCTCCCTGGGCATCCTTTCTTTTCCATAAATATTAACTGTATAATTGCAGAATGCAGAGCTGCTCAGTAGGTCCCATACTGGTGAGGCCACAGTGATGCTAAGACAGAAGGCTTGCCCTTGTGCTATGCAGGCAGGGTGGTGGGGACAAAGTCCAAGGGGTTCCTGTGGCCAGATGCCCTAGTCCTACCTGTATGCAACAGTTGAGCTGTTCTGCTGATTTCTTTTGGGTGTGTTGACAGGACTGTGTTCAGTTTGGATCTGGGGACCTAGTGTTCCCTAGGATCAGTTGTATCATTTTATTTGAGACAGGTGCTAATTCTGTGTCACGGGCTGACCCAGAACCCACTGTGTAATCCATGGTGATGTAGGATTTATGGCAGTCCTCCTGCCTCAGTTTCCAAAATGCTGGCATTACAGTTGTGAGCCACTATACAGTTGTGTTCTTGAAGGGAGCAGAAGGAAGGACAGACTTCCTAGGGCAAGGCTCTGGCAGTTAAGTTTTTCCAAATAAAAATCCCTTTTGCCAAGTTTCGTAGCTTCTGGCAGGGCTGCCATCAAAGCATCCTGCCAGTAAAAAATAAAGAGGAAAAAGGTGAAAAACCCAACCATTCCAGCCCTGCCTGTAACCTGCCGGTGATTGGTTGATGGTCTTCCCTGAGTTCTAATTAAAGCTTCAACCCCAGGAAAAGCGTATAAACCAATTAGGAATTCAGAACCACAAATGAAATACCTCTGTTTACATAGTCTAGTTTTAAGGCAAGCCAAATGAATCAGCTGTCCGTCTGATGAATATTTACTTTACCTAGTCATTTCCAATTAACTATTTGATGAAATTAGCTGCTTCATAGAATCATGTAGTCTTGTTCTCTTATCTGAACCATTTTCTTACATTCGCAAAGCCTTTTTTATGATACCTTTACATCTGGAACATTCTGTAATTAATATTATTAACAAAAGGAAAAGATGATATAATATTATTCAGAGACATTGGAATGTAGTTGCCCATGCACTGGGATGACCACACTGGAAATGAATGTTATAGGGCTTAGGATAAAGTCCAATGGAATACAGATGGTATTTTATTTTAATTGCCTCCAGTCTGTGTTGTGTCAAAGTGCTTTGATGAGTGATGGAATTTATGGTCCACCCCAACATCATATAAAACTGATGGGGTGTACATTTGTTTAAACAAAACACGAGAGGGAGGCAGTGGAGTGAGGATGCTTGTCTTTAGGCACACACAGATACATACAATCTGTCACACCTGCCAAGCATCTCTTTACAGTGATCCTCTGCTGGCATGTGTCATCACTTTCCTTACTTTTTTTTAGATACACATATTTATTTTTATTCTATGTGTATGGGTGTTTTGCCTGTCTGTATGTCTGTGTACCATATGCATGCAGTTCCTGTGGAAGCTCAAAGAGGGTGTTGGGTCCCCTGAAACAGGAGTTATAGACAGTTGTTAGCTGACTTGTAGGTGCTAGGAATTGAACTCAGGACCTCTGGAAGAGTAGTCAGTGCTTTTAACTGCTGAGCCATTCCCTTCTGTACCTTCTTAATTAACCTTTACTTGATTCCCCCTGCCTTTGAAGGGGCCGTTTTGCTTTGCTTTATTGATCAGACCTCTCATAGGGAGAGAAAAACACACAAGTTGCCAGTGTGCAGTATCAGTCACTGAGTTTTTCTTAGGGCTGTCATTTAAGCATGCTGGAAGTGTTTGTTTTTAACTTGTTCTTTTGCTGAACGTCTGGAGAAGGAAGGGCAGATGTTACAGCAGCCCCAGCCAATAGCTGAAAGGGCTCACAAATTTTTTAAAAATTACTCGTTCTGATTCTGTTCCAAGCTGGCTTATAGTTTAGGCGCTGCTGCCTGTCTTCCAAACCTGACATTTTAGTTCGATGACTCTGATTCAGCCCTTTCTTTTCCCTTGGTGCTCAGCCAGTTGGATGACGGAAATGGAAAGATGGAGATGTTACTGGAGGGGGCCTCAGTGGCTGCTTCCGGGCA